AATTATAATTACATTTAATTATGTTTTTAATTAAAATTAAATGATTAACTTACCAATCTGAAGTGTGAGTTTTTCTTTTATGGAGATTTTTGTTGTTAAACTCTGCATAACTAATTTTTTTCTTAATAAAACTGTCACTAACAATTGTCTTCAAATGTACAGGTTCTCGTTAAAGTTCTCATTATATTAAATAATCAGTAGTCACTTTGTTTATTAATCTAATCTAACCGCAAATCTTTTTACCGGTAACTATTATTAGTTTTATATGATCCCAAAGAACGCGTTTTTGTAGTTTAAAGTAGATTTAATTTTTGTTGAGATTGTAAATAACAAAAATAACTTCACAACACAACTCGTGGCCATGATAATTCTTACTTTACTGTGAATGTGAACTGTGAACTCACGCCAACAAACTATAAGCAACTAAAGATTGATACAAAAAGAGGCAAGGTACAACCACTATTTGCCGCATCTGGCTCGGTAAGCGGTAAATAGGATTGATTAGAACTTGCGGGAAATACGTATAAGAAATACCACTTACAAAATTAACAAAATAATGTTTCTTATAAAATTAAATAACGTACATGTAATTTCGCAAATTTTACTTAAACTATCGACATTTAATTGATTTTGCAACTTTTAACTTATTTAAGGTTGCTTTATTTCAATTATGAAATGCGTTCATCTCGAATCAAAATAAGCCCAAATATGTCTGCGAATTAGATTCGTAGATTTTAATGATTATATGATCACATTTTAGATATATACAGATGGAGAACCAGCAGAAGTATCGGCAAATATACAAGCAATGTTAATAGAAAGATTAAAATCAAAAGCCGAAGAATCGGCTAGTTTGGACACTAAAAGTGGATCAGCACACACTAGTCCGTTTACTGCAAAAAAAGTTACTTCTATTTGAATATTAAGAAACAGTATGATGTGTGTGTTTGTTGTTTTCTAAATAAATAAAATTGAAGGAAACGATGACATATGTGCTTAATCAGTATTTGATGAGTTTTATTGTATTGCTGCACATATATATGATACGAGTAATACATATGATTATAAAAAGTAATTGCTACAATTTAAACTTTTCCCCCACTAGTCATCTTGAATTATTTATGCTTTAAATGATTTAAAGGCCACCTTTTAGCAAATATAAGAAATAGTTATTTAATTTTTTGTTTGAAGCGCCATCTTAGTAATTATTGAAAAATCATAACAGAAATATACAATAGATTCAACAGACAACTACAAAATAATAAATAGTTTTCTGTAATATGCCGTCATGTAAAACTGAAAAATTTTGAGCTATGATTACGGCTATGATTTTTGAGACAATTTTGAGAAAACGATTTGTTACCAAATTGGCATACCAATTAATATATACCCAAAGTGCAAATTTAGCATGCTATTTGTAAATAGTTTAGTTTAAAGTACGATTTTGTGTGGTAAAGGACAAAAACTAAATCAAAACATATGCAATGCAAAACAAAGTCCATGATGGAACAGTGAAGGTTACACCATATTTATACGATTCTTATCTTTGCCGATTATGTGCAAATGAAAATCTAAATGGTACAAAAATTTTTCCGAAAAACGAAAACGAATCTGATTTAAGTCAGCTTATTAATAAATATTTGCCCCTGAAGGTATTAACACCATTTACATTTACAATATAAATTAAAAAATCTAATCTGCAGTCATTGCATTAAAAACGTCCTTTTCTGTAGGTTTATGATGACGGAAAATTGCCACAGTTAATTTGTCCAGGTTGTTACATTCAAGTGGAAGCCACTAAACAATTTTTAGATCTGGTTTTAGAAGGTCAGAAAAAGCTTCGTGATTTGTTGCAATTACAAGAAACTGAAGAACACTTAGATGGAGATATTGAAAAGACAACTCTGGAAAATGCAGTTAATACATATGTACAAACAGATGAGAATGGCAGAAATATTTTTATTCAAGGTAATGTGTATAATACTGTCTTAGCATAATTAGAAGTCAATTTTTATAGTATTATCGAATGGCTCCTTATATCCACCTGAACATTCACTATCAGTACTTGCTGCGGGTTCAGAAAAACCAAAGAGAAGACGCGGTAGGCCACCCAAAACGATAACTACAGAGTGCAATGAAAATGAGCCGCAAAAAGAGACAAAAGTCAAACCTGAATCTGAAGATGAACCTGAAACTGACAATGATGGACGAAGAAAAAGGAAAATAAAAGTACCTACAAGATTTCAAGAAGTTGTCCAGGTTAGTTTTAAATATAAATATACTGTATTAATTTTGATAGTAAAGTGTAATTCCTTTTCTTATTTCATTTGTTAATGCCATTGCAGGGGAAAGAACTGGAAAGAATTTTTCTAGAAGAAGGTGTTATAGGTGAAGATTCAACATCAGATTATGAACATGGTAAAGCAGATCACTTAGAAGATAATGAAATTATTGGTCGCTTACAAAGTAAAGATGGTGATAATCTTGGAGAATTAATTATAGTTAACAGAGTCTCAAGTAAAATGAGGAATACATTTAAGAATGAAGGTATTTTGGATTTTTTCTAAATGAAGCAGAAACTAGTAAATATGTGACATGATTGGACACAACCAGAAATTAATTGGCATTTTTCTTCCAAAGTATCAAGAAGAAGAAAAAAACATGAAGTTGAAATATGTGGGAAGGAATTCTTATATTA